CCAAAGAAAACATAGAGATAGCCAACAGGCACATGAAAAGATGCTCAATGTCTCTAATCATGAGGAAAATGCAAATCAAAACTATAACCAAAACTATAACCAGTGTCACCTGACACTGGTCAGATTGGCTATTACCAAAAAGACAAAAAATAACAAGTGTTGGTACAGATGTGGAAAAAAGGGAAATCTCATATACTGCTGATGGGAATGTAAATTGGTGCAGTATGTAAATGGAAAACAGCCACTATGGAAAACACTATGGAAAACATATGGAGTATGGAGGTTCCTCAAAAAAATAAAAAAGAGAACTGCCATATGACCCATTAATTCTACTTCTGGGTATCTATACGAAGAAAACAAAAATACCAATTTGAAGAGATACATGCACCTCCATGTTCATCACAGTATTATTTACAATAGCCAAGATAACGAAGCAACCTAAATGTGCAGGAATAGATGAATAATGATGTGGTATATAGATATACAATGGAATACTACTTGGCCATTAAAAAAGAATGAAACCATGCCATTTACAACAATATGGACAAGCCTAGAGAGTATTATGCTAAGTGAAATAAGTCAGAGAAAGACATACATACCATATGCTTTCATTTATTTGTGGAATCTAAAAAACAAATACACAAACCAAACAGAAAGAGACTTACAAGAGACAGGAAACAAACTGTTGGTTACCACAGAAGGAGAGATGAAATAAGTGAAGGGGATTAAGAGGCACAAACTTTCAGTTATAAGTTAAATAGGTCATGAGGGTGTTATATACACCATAGGGAATATAGTCAGTAATACTTTAATAATTTGTATAGTAACAGATGGTTAACTAGACTCACCATGGAGATGATTTGGTAATGGATAAAAATATCAAATAATCATGACATACACTTGAAACTAATAGGATCTTCTATGTCACTTATACCACAATAAAAAGGGAATTTACTGGTACGTAAGATATTCTACACTAAAATGTAAATCTTTGGGGGTGAGATTGTGAATTACTAATATAAGCCACTTTTTTGCCTAACTGTGCTTTCAATGTTCTACATAAACATTCATCACCTTTAGATAAAAATAAACATGAACTCCTTTCAAATGTCTTTAAAATAACAACAGCTCCTGTCCACAAGCCATTCTGGAGGACTGGCGAGAAGGGCTAAATAAACATTTTACTACAATACATGGATAAGTAGAGCCAAATACAGGGTGCTAAGCAAATACAATGAAAAGGTAAAGAATCTAGATGGAATTCAAAGAAAGTGTCCCGAAAGAAAGAATCTCCCAACAGGCATGTGAGGAATGATCAGGAACAGCCAACCAAAAACAGAAGGGCATTTGGTGAGGGATGGAGGACTACAGAACTAAGTCTGGCAAATTTGGCATGAAGAATTTGGACAGGAGAAAAAAGGAAAAAGGACCACTGACAACAGTGTAGAGAATCAGAGAATAGTGAAAAGTCTGTCAAAGAAATGTGGGAGAGAAATAACAGAAATTTTATCTGAAACAGAGCAGTGGGTATGGAAAGGCTAAAAGAGTGTAAGACATACAAGTGGTATAAGCAGGTAGAAACCAAAAGACTTGATTTGAGAGAACAAAGCACAAAGAGGTACGTAGGATTACTCTCCGCTCGACCTGGGTAAAGGCAAGGCAGAAACAAGTCAGCATGGAAATGAGAGAGGATAAAAATAAGCTCAATTGTGGATGTGCTGGGATTGAGCATTCTGGTGGAATAGGATCATGTAAATCTTCAAGGGGCAGATGAGTCTCTGTGTTGGAAATGCGGACGTGAGAGTCAATGTTTAAGTGGCCGCTAGAGTCACCATATGAGGTAAAATGGCCCATAAAGGGAGAATACACAGAAAAGAGAGTTGAAGACAGAATCCTGGGAAGACTTGAGAGTGAGATGAAGAAGGGCTACCTGGCAACTAGAAAAGACAACAGGCAGAAAGGTAAAAATTTCCAAATTCAGGAAAAATACATCAGAGAATTTCAAGAAGAGAGTGGTCTTCAGTGGCAAACGATGCCAAGAGATTGGAAAGAATCCACTGGGGTCTTCAAACGCAGGACGTTAAGGGATGCACGAGAGGAAGAGAGTCGGGAAAGGATCAGTAATCCATGGCCAACTGTTGCTGGGGTGCAGCTAAGAGGGAAGGGAAAGGTGGAGGCTGCAGGGGCAGAGGGTTGTTCCTTAGGGAGACACAGTGTGACGGCTTCTGGAGTGTCCACAACCTCATTACTGGAACCTGTCATGGCAAAAGGAATCTTACAGACACGATTAAGTTAAGGACCTTGGGTGCGGAGCTTATCTCGGGAGTACTGAGCAGACCTGATGTAAACACAAGAGTCCTCAGAAGAGGGCCTCTTCAAAGTCCTGATAAAAGATCAGAGAAGACACCTGTTATGCAAATGGCTTTGAAGACGGAAGAAGGGAGTCACAAGTCAACAACTGCAGGCAAACTTTTTTTTTGCTAGAAAAAGCAAAGAAAAACAGATTCTCTTTTAGAGCCTCTAGAAGGTATGCAACCCTCCTTACCCATTTGAGACTTCTGACCTCAAAATTGTAGGATAATAAATTTGTGTTGTTTTCAGTCAGAGTTAATAGTAATTTGTTACAGCAGCAATAGGAAACATTTATTTGGGTTGTTTTTTAGGTAAGAGAGGTTTGGGCATCTTCACATACTAAAAGAAGAACAGAAGCAAGGCTGTGAAGACAAAAGAGAATGTGATTTTATATTTTTGGTAATAAAATTGAACGATAAATTTTGGGATGAAAATTTAGGTTTATTCTTGTATCCCAGAAGTTTTCTCTGTGATCTCTGGCAAAGCGCTGAACAACTGAAGCTCACCGGGAAATGGGAAAAAATGGAATAAAGAACACAGCCACCAGAATTAGTATCTACACTGAGAGGCATAAAATGAAGCATAAAAGGTGGGTAACTGACCAGTAGGCACTTGTCTCCTGAGATCAGAAGTATCATTTCCTGAGTGCTACCTGCAAGCACTGAGACTCGCATACATCTTTTTCTCAAAATGCTGCAAGACAAAAAGCATCCACACTTGACAGAGGGAAAGTGCCAAAACTCCTAAGATTTAGATAGGAGTCTGTTCGACTCAGAAACACTACTGAGCAATCTGGCAGACACAGCCATAGCCACAGCCCTGGTCAGACTTAACACCAGGATAACGGGCCTCTCAAGCTCTCGCACCCCTTGAGATGACCTACTGAGAAAGACACGTCACCTCTGAGGTATTGCTCTGCCCAGCCTCACCTTTGTCCCACCCCAAGAAAAACAAAACTGTGCTACAGTTTGCCCTTGGCCGAATTCCAAAGCAGAACTATTAAAAAGTCAACATCATTCATAAGGAGTAACACACTTAAGGCTTCTTTGTGTTAAGCATCATTTTCGTGGACTCCTAGTAGTGTTCACCTAAATGGATGAATATCGAGTAGCAGGTGCTGAATCTTAATACCTGTAGCGCAGTCCCCCACCCTGCCCCCGACAGGCTCCCCCCACGCCCCCGTCCAGTACCCAACCCGCTCCCTCCGACGGGCTCCCCCCGCGCCGCGGTCCCGATCCGACCCCCCGACGGGCTCCCCCGCACCCCGTCCCAGTCCCGCCTACCTGACGGGCTCCCCACACGCCGCGCCGCCGTACTGTCCCCAACACCGTCCCCCCCACGGGCTCCCCGCACGCGTCCCGCCCCACCGTCCCCGACGGCTCCCCCGCACCGCGTCCCCCCCCACCCCGTCCCTCCGACGGGCTCCCCCCGCGCCCCCCGTCCCAGTCCCGCCTACCTGACGGGCTCCCCACACGCCGCCGTACTGTCCCCAACACCGTCCCCCCCACGGGCTCCCCCGCACCGCCATCCCGACCCCCACCCCGTCTCTCCGACGGGCTCCCCCGCACCGCCATCCCGACCCCCACCCCGTCTCTCCGAGGGGCTCCCCCGCACCGCCGTCCCGTCCCCCCACCCCGTCCCCACGACGGGCTCCCCGCACCGCCGTCCCATCCCCAACCCGTCCCCCGACGGGCTCCCCGCACCGCCGTCCCGTCCCCCACCCCGTCCCTCCGACGGGCTCCCCCGCACCGCCGTCCCGTCCCCCACCCCGTCCCTCCGACGGGCTCCCCCGCACCGCCGTCCCGTCCCCCCACCCCGTCCCCACGACGGGCTCCCCGCACCGCCGTCCCGTCCCCCCACCCCGTCCCTCCGACGGGCTCCCCCGCACCGCCATCCCGTCCCCCACCCCGTCCCTCCGACGGGCTCCCCCGCACCGCCATCCCGTCCCCCCACCCCGTCCCTCCGACGGGCTCCCCCGCACCGCCATCCCGTCCCCCACCCCGTCCCTCCGACGGGCTCCCCCGCACCGCCGTCCCGTCCCCCACCCCGTCTCTCCGAGGGCTCCCCCGCACCGCCGTCCCGTCCCCCACCCCGTCTCTCCGAGGGGCTCCCCCGCACCGCCGTCCCGTCCCCCACCCCGTCCCACGACGGGCTCCCCCGCACCGCCGTCCCGTCCCCCCACCCCGTCCCCACGACGGGCTCCCCCGCGCCGCCGTCCCGTCCCCCCACCCCGTCCCCACGACGGGCTCCCCCGCACCGCCGTCCCGTCCCCCACCCCGTCCCCACGACGGGCTCCCCCGCACCGCCGTCCCGTCCCCCACCCCGTCCCCACGACGGGTTCCCCCGCACCGCCGTCCCGTCCCCCCACCCCGTCCCCACGACGGGCTCCCCCGCACCGCCGTCCCGTCCCCCACCCCGTCCCCACGACGGGTTCCCCCGCACCGCCGTCCCGTCCCCCACCCCGTCCCTCCGACGGGCTCCCCCGCGCCGCCGTCCCGTCCCCACACCCCGTCCCCCCGACGGGCTCCCCCGCACCGCCGTCCCGTCCCCCACCCCGTCCCTCCGACCGGCCCCCCGGCGCCCCCGTCCCGGCCCCCACCCCGTCCCTCCGACGGGCCCCCCGGCGCCCCCGTCCCGGCCCCGCCTACCTGATGGGCTCCCGCCAGCGCTTGAACCAGCTGCAGCAACTGGCCATCAGCCTGAACATGCCCGGCCGCACCTCCCGCCGCCTCCCATGCGAGCCCCGAGCGGCGAGGGCCGTGGTTGCCCCGGGCCGAGTCCCCGGGGGGCCGCAGCCGCTCCGCCGCACCTCTGAGGCCGAGACGTCGGGAGGGAGGTCAAGGCTGGGGGTCCCCGCGCCCGCCCGCGAGCGAAGCACGGCCCCCCCACCCGGCACAGCCCGCCCGACGCGCAGACACACGGACCCCAGCCGGGCGAGCGGAGCCGGCCGACAGAAAACCCCCGCGTCGACGTGCTGACGTCCCCCAGGGCGGAAGGCCCGCCCCAGGCACCGCCCACGTACTCCCCCAATCACCGCGCGGCGGCGCCGGCGGGGCCTCTGATTGGCTGAAGGGCGAGCCTCTCCCCCGCGGAGGCGGGGCGGGGAGGGCGTTCTCGTTACTAGGCAACGGGAGCGTCCGCGGAGGAGGTGAGAAATGCCCCACGCGTAGTGGGCAAGGCCTCTGTGCAAACCCGTGCAAAGTGTGCTGCCGGGGCTGTCCTGGTCTGTCTCTAACCCCGGCGGGCGTCCAAAGATCTCAGGGCTCCTGGGATTTGGTTGATGAAACGGAGCTGGGGATCCTCTGGGATTCTGGCAGACTGGGGCGCCGAACCGCCGCACAGCACACTGGGCTCCTTACAAACCAGCGACGAGGAGGAAAACTAGGGCCGTTTTCATCTGCGTGTTTATTGCTGTTTGGCAGCAAAAATGTAGAATGGAATCGTATGATATTTACTGGGGGGGTTATGATTGCAAAAGAAATAATGTGTTCGTTGTAGACAATGTGAAAAATACTGAAAGAGGAATAAGATGAACAAAATAAGATCTCACATTCACCACGCAAACATAACAAGTATTAACATTTTTTTAAAAGATTTTATTTATTTATGAGAGACACACAGAGAGAGAGAGAGAGAGAGGCAGAGACAGAGGCAGAGGGAGAAGCAGGCTCCCTGCGGGGACCCCATGGGGACTGGATCCCAGGACCTGGGGTCACGCCCTGGGCCGAAGGTGGACGCTCAACCACGGAGCCACCCAGGCGTCCCAAGTATTAGCCATTGATATATGTTTTTTCTAGGATTTTTAGATAATATTAGCTGGTTTCTACAAGATGGAGAGTTACCTGATGCCTGTTTTGTGATGTGTTTAATTTTATTTACAGGGATACATAGTATCTGCCTTTCTTTTTATTTTTTTACTTTCTTGGAAAACAAATAACAAGTACATTCCTGTAGAGGGGGTAGAAATACACACATGATATGTAAGGACCCATGTGTCCATTCCATTCCATTTCTTTTTTTTCTTTTTCTTTTTCTTTCTTTTTCTTTTTCTTTTTTTTTTTTCTTTTTTTGTACCCCACAGCCAGGTCTTTATTAGGAAGGTAAATCAGACTCCTAGTACAAGGTACACCACGACTCTGGGGGGAGGGGCTCTCCAGGATGTTTCTGAAGCTGGGGAATCCATTTCTATTTAAATACATTTTTCTCGAATGTTGGTAAAAGGAGAGAGGGCCCTGGGACGCCCAGTGTATCCAGGGGAAAATAATGGTTTGGGGCTACAACAGATTTAGTTTTAAAGGTATTCTCTGTTGTTTACTCGTTCATATAAGCCTGATTCAACTCATATACATCACTTACAGCTCACCATCTCTGGACCCAAGTATCCCATCTACAAAATGGGGATGAAAATACCTATTTTGCCAGGTTGCTAAGAAGATGATATGAGAGAAATAAAGCTTAAGTGCAGTGTCTAACAAATCATAGCAGATTTTGAAGTTGGTGTCACCTGTCTCAAAAATATCTGTGGCATATATTCCATATATTCTTCCTACTTCTTTCTCCAAATTGCTAGGGATCGTGTTCACTGTTTTCCTTGTCCTGACTTGATAACTTCAAATTTCTTTCCAGCTGCCATGGCTTCATGGCCTCTACTGGTTTTCCTAACTGAATCTGCCCTTCCATCAGTGCCGGGTGCTTTCTCTGCCCAGAATGTCCTGTCCAGACACAATAATACTTCTATTTTACAGTGCTAATGAAGAAAGTTAGATTAAACCTTCACGAATTTTCTTTTCTCACTGTTATCTGTTTCTTTTCTCATTTTCTAATATCTGAAGACATCTATCTCATCTTTCCCAAGATTAACCACTTCCCTGCAACTTTGACAAACGTCATTTTTCAACTTTTCTGAAATCGTGTTCTTTTGATTATTTCTTCTTGATCCAACATGTGAAATATATAGTTCCCCATTTTTTTCCCAAGATCTTTGGCTACAATTTCCAGGGTGGAGAGGGAGTTAAGAAGGCGAGGCAGGAAAGATCCACAATTCCTCCTTAGCTATCAAACGATTGGTACTATTCTGCTGAGTCTTTACTTTCACAATCCAATTTTTTAAACTTGTGGTTTACCACAAAAACCTTACAGCACTATTTTTTTTTCCTGTTCACTCTTTTTATCAATTTACTGTGATTGGGGTTCTGCATCCACTGAACTACTCAAAACACATTTTTTAAACATAACTTATATCTTCCTAATAACCAAATCAGGTCTCATTTTCTTCTTCATCACTTAATACATTTAATACAGTTAACTCTTCTAAAACTCTTTCCTTCCTTGGCTCTTCACAATTGTGCACTATTCTGGTCCTCTTCTGATCTCATTAGTCATTCCTCCTTCAGCTTCTCATGAGTATTCTCCAAGATCTGACCTTCCTCTGTGTTTCCCTTTTCAAAAACGTGTTCTCTCAGAGAATCCAATTACTACTCCTGTGCTTGAAGGGACTCACCATGCAGATATTCCTCCAGCATTTCTGGAACTACACTCAACACTCCTTTTTAACCCCAAAAAATGTACTCAACCTCACCTCTACTTCATGTCTCCCCTGAGAATGATACAATACCAAACATTTCAGGTGCCAAAGTACAGTCGGTCTGTTAATTAACTAAGTTGAATATAGTTTTTCCAATACATTAAGTGGTTTGGTAGACGTAGGAAGTGCATGGTATTTTCAGTTTTCTTTTCCTTTTACAAACATATGAGATAGTTATTCCCACCCTCTAGAAGTCATGGGACTTGCTTTGTCCAGTGAAATGTAAGTGAAGTGGAAATTGAGGGAGACTGTGTTAACTTTGAAATACTATAAAATCAAAACAGTATGGAATGCTGAACCAACACCCGGAAGATATCTGCCCAGAAAGTCCTACGGTGTAATTCCCATGAGTAAGAAATAAACACTTATCTTTAAACATTGTAATTCCGAGGCTATTTCACCATAGTGTAATCTAGTTTATTCTGGATAATGAAAACAATCTTGCTATCATCATTCTAGCTAAAACTCTTATTTAATCCTCCAGGGATTATTTAGTATCCTAAATGTTACTTGATTTCTCTTTCCAGCTTTACTGAGTGATAACTGACAACATTGTTTTTTTTTTAATTTTTATTTATTTATGGTAGTCATACAGAGAGAGAGAGAGAGGCAGAGACACAGGAAAAGGGAGAAGCAGGCTCCATGCACCGGGAGCCCGACGTGGGATTCGATCCCGGGTCTCCAGGATCACGCCCTGGGCCAAAGGCAGGCGCCAAACCCCTGCACCACCCAGGGATCCCAATTGACAACATTGTAGTATAAGAAGATGTACAATATGATGATTTATTATTTTTTTATTTTTATTTATTTATGATAGGGAGAGAGAGAGAGAGAGAGAGGCAGAGACACAGGCAGAGGGAGAAGCAGGCTCCGTGCACCGGGAGCCCGACGTGGGATTCGATCCCGGGTCTCCAGGATCGCGCCCTGGGCCAAAGGCAGGCGCCAAACCGCTGCGCCACCCAGGGATCCCCAATATGATGATTTAATATGTGTATACATGGTAAAAATGATTCTCACAATCCAGTTAATTAACACCTCCATCACCTCACACTGCTACCTTTCCTTCTTTCTTTCTTTCTTTCTTTCTTTCTTTTTTTTTTTTTTTAACACTCTTAAGGTCTACTCTCTTAGCAAATTTCAGAATATGATATAATTAACTACAGTCACCATGCTGGACATTAGATCCTCAGAACTTGCTCGTAACTATAGAAAGTTTTTATACCCTTTATCAACTTCTCCCCATTTCCTTACTCCCAGCTACTGGCAACCACCATTCTATTTTTTGTTTCTACCAATTGGCCTTTTCTTTTTCTTTTAGATTCTACATATAGGTGATTCCACACAGTTTTTGTTTTTCTCTGTGGGACTTATTTCACTTAGCATAATGCCCAAATGCCATACCTGACTGTGAGATAACCATATCTATCTATCTATATATCTGTGTATCACACATTTTCCCAGCCATTCATCCACTGATTAGACTTAGGTAGTGGGTTGCATATCTCAGCTACTGTGAATAATGCTTTGCAGAATGTGGGAGGACAGTTTCCTAGTGGTTGTACTAATATACATTCCCACCATCCTCTGCATCTCCATCTTTTCTCTTGAATAAATGTAACTTGGTTTCTTTTCTTTTCTTTTTTTTAATTTTTATTTATTTATGATAGTCACACAGAAAGAGAGAGAGTGATAGAGGCAGAGACACAGGCAGAGGGAGAAGCAGGCTCCATGCACCGGGAGCCCGATCCCTGTAACTTGTTTTCTAATCTTTCCTTGCTCTGATCCATTTTGCAACCATTTAACAAAGTAACATTCTCAAGGTAAAACAATGGAAATTACTCCTTTTAAAACAAGCAAACCGGGATCCCTGGGTGGCGCAGCGGTTTGGCGCCTGCCTTTGGCCCAGGGTGCCATTCTGGAGACGCAGGATCGAATCCCACGTCGGGCTCCCGGTGCATGGAGCCTGCTTCTCCCTCTGCCTGTGTCTCTGCCTCTCTCTCTCTCTCTGGGACTATCATAAATAAATAATTAAAAAAAAAAAACAAAATAAAATCTCAGTAACTGATTTTTCAAAGTCTGACATTACAGTAGAGGTAGGATACACAATTTTTCATCACTGACAAATTACTGACGCTGTGATGCACAGTTACGGTATTAAAAAGATAATCACTTTAAAGTGAAGTCTTCAGGAGAGCAAGATTTTTCTTTTGGGTAACTCATGTCTCTCTAAGATTTCCTTCTTCAAATTTTGTATATTCTTTTTTTATATTGGGGATATTGGAGATAGCTATGAATGTTATTGATTTGTGATTTTGGAAGTTCTCTCTCCTTGTGAAATTTTGAGATTTATAAGGAGATTCCCAAATTGAGCCTTTACTTGAAAGACTCCTAGCTGGGGATCCATGGGTGGCTCAGCGGTTTAGCGACTGCCTTCGGCCCAGGATGTGGTCCTGCAGTCCTGGGGTCCCAGGATCCAGTCCCACATCAGGCCCCCTGCATGGAGCCTGCTTCTCCCTCTGCCTCTCTCTCTCTCTCTCTCTGTCTCTCATGAATAAATAAATAAAATCTTAAAAAAAAAAAGAAGAAAGACTCCTAGCTTAAGTGTATTTAAATTTAAATATAAATTTTAATTTATTAAATAAATAAATTTAATTATTAAATTAAATTTAAATATAGTACTTAAAGGTCATTTTGTTTAATGCTATGATTGTTAGCACATCAAACAATTCTACAGAGATTAGAATCATATTTACAATTAAATGACTTGGGGGTTGGGGTTAAACTGGCGAATAGCTTGTCTTGGTAGAGTCAGAGCAAGAAGGAAAAGAATCTCAAAAAGGGAATCATTCAGTAATTCCTTCGCAAGTGTTCTTATCAGAAAAAGTGACTCTAATATCACCTTCCATTCAGCTGGGTCCCAGAACCACAGGCAGCTGGAGCTGGAAGAGACCCTCCCGGAGGGTCAGCCCGCGGGCTATCACTCACACACAAAGGAAACCAGGCGGTTGGCTCATTTGGGCAGAAACTCTAGACGGGATAACAGTAGAGATGCCTTCAGGACTATTACTGAACGCCCAGTAACGGCTTCACATGTGTTATCTTTTAAATCCTTACATGAACATCATGAAAACCCACTATTATCCTGGAGATACAACTGAGGCTTAGGGAGGTTAAGCAATTTGCTTAAAGTTACAGAATGAGTAAGTGATAAAAGTATTGAGATTTGAATCAGGCATTTTAGCTCCACATGCAGCCTTAACTATTACGTAACATTACAAATGTTCATGTCTGAACACAACACGTGGAGGTCATATCGCAAAAAAAATGAGCTGTTCGAAGGTGATGGAATTTGATACATTCTCATTTTTTTCTCAGAACTTTTTTTTTTTTGGCCATAGGTTTGGGTTTTCTTTTTTTCTTTTTTTTTAACCATAAATACAAGAACGAAAGAAAAATGTGGATGATCACAACTATCCCATTTGCTCCCATTATCTCTCGTCTGAGGCCTTCCTGGAGTCACTGGCTTCTAGGCTTGATTAATGTCTCCATCTCCTGCGCGATCGTTCGTTCGGAACCTGGACCGCGGTCCTGAGTCCTCAGAGTTCCCTCTCGCCCCAGCTCCCTGGAGGTACGGGTCCCGGTCCGGGTCCCCGTCTCCGTCCGCGTCCCCGTCTCCGTCCGCGTCCCCGTCCCGGTCCGCGTACCCGTCCCCATCCCAGTCCCGTCCCGGTCCGCGTCCCCATCCCCATCCGCGTCCCCGACCCCGTCCCCGTCCCCGTCCCACCTTCGTCCCCGTACCCATCCCGGTCCTGTCCGCGTCCCCGTCCGCGGCCCCATCCCCATCCGCGTCCCCGTCCAGGTCCCGTCCCCTTCCCGGTCCCAGTCCCCGCCCGCGTCCCCTTCTCTGTCCGCGTCCCCATCCGCGTCCCCGGTCCCGGTTCCCGCCCGCGTCCCTGTCCCTGTCTGCGTCCCCATCCGCGTCCCCGACCCCGTCCGCGTCCCCGACCCTTGGGAGGGCTCCGCGCGGAGACCGGAGCGAACCTGGGCGAGGACGCGGGATGTCCCGACAGTGTTTACCAGGCCTCCGACACGCCCCCTGAGCCCTGCCCCCAGCTTCGAAAAGCTTCCTGGAAATGTCCTCGTTATCACTTCCCCTCCCGGGCTGGGGGCTGGGAGCGGGCGGTCCCCCCGCCCCCGGCGCCCGCTGTTGGGCAGAGCGCTGGCTCGCAGGCGCCGCCGCCCCGCAGTCCTCGGAGAGCGGCGCCCGGGCTCGCAGGTCCCCGCGTCCGTCCGTCCGGGTCCCCGCGTCCGTCCGGGTCCCCGCCGCCGCCGCCCCGGTCCCCCCGCCGTCCGCTCCGCGATGAAGCTCCTGGCTGGGCGCTGCGGGGCGCTGCTGGCGTGCCTGGTCCTGGTGCTCCCGGTCTCCGAGGCCAACTGTGAGTAGCCGGCCGCGCCGTCCCTGCTCCCCGGCGCCCACCGCGCGGCAGCCGAGCCGGAGGATTCCGCGGGGGCTGCAGCCGCCGGAAAGTTTCCCCCGCCTCCCCGGCGGGGGCCGCAGCCGCGGGCCTGCGGGCGGTGTACGGGGCGCGGGGGGCGCGGGGGCAGGAGCTGCAGCTGCAGGGGCAGGAGCTGCAGGAGCGGCAGGGGCAGGAGCGGCAGGGGCAGGAGCTGCAGCTGCAGGGGCAGGAGCGGCAGGGGCAGGAGCTGCAGCGGCAGGGGCAGGAGCTGCAGGAGCTGCAGGGGCGGGAGCGGCAGGGGCAGGAGCTGCAGGAGCTGCAGGGGATGCAGGGGCAGGAGCGGCGGGGGCAGGAGCTACAGGAGCTGTAGGGGCTGCAGGGGCAGGAGCGGCGGGGGCAGGAGCTGCTGGCCGCATGGCTCCAGGCCCGGGGCAGTTCTCGCTGCGCGGTGGCGCCGCCGCCGGCCCGCCCCAGCCTCCGCAGTCCCCAGGGGCCGGCCGGGCGCTCGCTCCCCGGGAGCGGCGGGGGCGTAGGGCCACCGCGTGTCCCCGGGCTGGCGGCCGCCCCCCCCCCCCGCACCCCTGGCTGCAGTTTGCCTCCCTTTTGCAATTTCTGGACTTTGAGCCGAGCGCGCTTATCTCAACATTGACAAAGCAATTGTTTTAGGATCCCTGCTGGTTTGCATAGCGGCAGGCAGATGTCGTTTTCTGACCTTGAAATCAGGACCGCTAACCGGTGTGCTTCTCAGGTCATTTTGTACTAAGTATTTCTGACACTGTCACAGCTCTGAGGTCGTGGCACGAATTCTCTGTATTTTATCATTGTATTGCCAGTTCTTTATGTTCCCATAGGTGGATTCAAGGCAGGAGAGTGTACAAGGGCTATCACGGCATTTTAGTACATTTTGATTGCCAGTTAATTTGTTTCCAAAGCTTAGGCACGGTTATTGATTTAAACTGCTTACTTGTGCTACGTTTTATTTTCAGGAAATGGCATGGGAGAGATAAACTCTGAATTGCAAAAACTTTTAGGCTGCCTACTAAAGCGCCTGTGGAAACTTTTCAGAGATGGTAATTTTAGGAGAATTGAGTAGGAATTTACTAATATTTCGCTAGTTTGAATTAGTTACTGATCAGGATGAAGGAGGTGTTTTGAAATTCTAACTTCAACGTCAAAACATCATTTGCTGATCTGATATTAAAGAGCTTTAATAGCTGCTTTGCTGTTCAAACCACTACCATGAAGCCTGTATGTGGACCACGTGCACAAATTCATTATTTATATGGTTCATTAGAACAATCAGATGTTGGCCCGGCAACCGGAAAGAGGCAGAAGTAGCCTTCCACATTCACTACTTCTCATCACGGGAATGTGCTAAACCTCTTCTTTTCATAGAATTGTTACATTTTTACTGAATCTAGATGGAGTTGAAATGATGTATGTGCCTGTGCGTATTAGATGTGATGTAATCAAACCATATATGTGAAGAAACACACTTGTTACACATAAACACTGATAGAGGAGAGGAAATAATAGTACAAATATATGACATAAAGAATACTTGGCCCTATATTGACTTTATTTTTAAGAGTATGAGTAGTTTAATTGTATTAAAAAACTTCTCTGGGGATGCCTGGGTGGCTCAGTGGTTGAGCATCCACCCTCGGCTCAGGGCGTGACCCCAGGTCCTGGGATCGAGTCCCGGATCCGGCTCCCCGCAGGGAGCCTGCTTCTCCCTCTGCCTTGGTCTCTGCCTCTCTCTCTCTGTGTCTCTCATGAATAAATAAATAAGATCTTAAAAAAAAAATCATATCTGGTTAACTGATGGGGAAACAGAGATACAGATGGAATGTTTTTACTCCCTAAGGTTTTACATTTGAGATAGAATTAGCATTCTAAATATTTGACCTATAATTCATTGGTTAGTCAATAGAAATGTATTTGCTATTTAAAGGAAAAGATTTACAAATCACAATTTTAGTTTTGAGAGTTGTTAGAAACTATCCAGTGTAACTTCTTCATTTTAACAGTAATGAATTGGTCAGAGATGTTAACTGACTTTGAAGACATTTACATATGCGAAAGATATTTTTATAATGTCTTATATTTTAATAAATATGAGAGACAGACAGAAAGGGGGAGAGAGATAGATTTAAAATATATACTGTCTACATATTCCATCACCTGCCACTAAGGACTGCGATGAAGAGAAATAGGAGAAAGGGGATGTACTCAGTCTGTGCTAGTTTGATCCCATCTTGACTTCCATTTCTAGGTGAGTCCGGTCTACTCTTGACATTACCGACTCATATTTACTTTCTCTTCTTAATTTCCTTCTTTCTCTCTAATTATTCCTTTCATCATTTATCTACCTGTCTTTTTAAAATGCCCTCTATTTTAGAGTTCAAAATGTTGCACTGATGGAGAGATTTTATTAAGGTTAGGAAGAGTTAGAGACAATTTCTGGTGCAGCAATGATACCTTGTGCCATATTCTCTTACCATCAATTCTATGCCAGGATACGTTGTAATGCTTCATAATAGACCTTTTCTATCCACCAAGTTCAGTGTCCTCTTTATAGCTAAATGATCTATATTTAAACTTTCAACATATTACAATAAAAGAAATAAGAAGCCTGATGATACATATATCAAATTCTTTAGCCTCAAGCAATAATAATGAAAGAAGGAAGGAAGGAAGGAAGGAAGGAAGGAAGGAAGGAAGGGAGGAAGGAAGGAAGGAAGCTGAGTGGATTTGTTGGAAGACTACTGAATGGCATGCTGAATAACTAGGCCAGTGGATGACAGGGACTTAGGCATCTTGGTGATCTGTATAGTGGGAACTCATGTGCTCGCTGTGTTAGGAGCTGCCATCAGATGACTGGGTTCTAACTACCTTCCAGTCCTGGGTGGACCTGCCCATGACTGAAATTCCCATAAGAGAGGAATTGATTGTTTTGGTTTAATGTATCCCTGGAGTCCTGTGACTGACAGCCCCCACAAAGGAATGGAAGCTGCGAAGGAAGCAGAAATAAGAGAAGTCTATGCATTGTACTGATTGGCTGGACAACATACACACATGCCCTCTCCATAAACACCATTTGGAGATATTTCAAGTATAATGTATTTATTTTTAATATAAGGCAAACAACTAACGTACAGTAGAAAGGACCTTCTCCTTAATAGATTCTAGTCACCACACCCAAAGAGGAAGGCTCAAGGCTACCATTTCTTAGTCTACTGTCACTGGCTGATGTTCCTACTTCCTCTCCTTCTCTCATAATCCCATGTCAATGTGCTCTGCTCTGCTTTATGGATGAAATCCAAAAACTAATAATACTAGAAAGACAAGCAAAAGAATACAAGTACTTTAGGGCGACCTGTCTTCCTTTTGAGCAGGAGCTGGTGTTTATGACCTCCTCCTTCACTCCCCAACTCACATGTCTGTTGCTTTCACACAGTTGCCTTATGTTTAATTTTGTTGTCTTATCTCCGAGATGAACTACACTCTTGGTCAGGAAGGATCTGAGCCTGTTCCCACCTCTAGATATTGTATCCATCTCTTCTTTCACAATTTCTATTTGTATACAATAGTCATCTTGAAGGAGCAACACTCTTTCTAGACTTGATTTATACATGGCAACAACACTAGTTTGCCTTGATTATTGTCATACAAGCGTAATCTTTCAAAATTTTTCAACAGGAATAAAGAACTAGCAGTCTCAGTTTCTAATTCAGTGGGAAATATATTGGGTCCCATAGTGAATGCATTTCTTCTTGATTTACCAATTTCTAGATGAGCAAAAGACAATTGCAAGGAAAAAAAAGCAAAAAAGCAAAAACAAAAACATGAGAATAGGTCGTTGAATTAGGTTTTTTTAAATTTTCTTTTATTTATTATTTATTATTTATTTATTTATTTAGTTGTTGTTGAATTTTTTTTTTTTATGATAGTCACAGAGAGAGAGAGAGAGGCAGAGACATAGGCAGAGGGAGAAGCAGGCTCCATGCACCGGAAGCCCGACGTGGGATTCGATCCCGGGTCTCCAGGATCGGGCCCTGGGCCAAAGGCAGGCGCCAAACCGCTGCACCACCCAGGGATCCCTTGAATTGGTTTCTTAAGCTGCTGTAACAAAGTACCACTTCTGGGTGGCTTAAACAACAGAATTTATTGTCTCATAGTTCTGGAAACTAGAAGTCTGAGATTAAGGTGTCAGCAGGATTGATTCCTTCTGGGAGCTGTGAAGGAGACTCTGTTTCACGCTTTTCTCCTAGCTTCTGATAGCCTCAGACATTTCCTGGCTTGTAGAAGGCATTTTCCCTATGACATCACATCATCTTCCCTCTGTACATGAGAGTTCCTGTATTCCAAATTTCCCCTTTTGATAAAGACATCAGTCATATTGGATTAGAGCTCATGCTTATGACCTTGTTTAACTTGATCATCTGCAAGCTTCTTTTTCCAAATAAGATCACATTCACAAGTACTGGGGAATTAAGGACGTTACCATCTTCATAGTGGATACCATTCAATCCATAACAATCACTAAACATCATATCATGACAAGTACTTCTTCCTTTTCTACTTTTATTTCTGACCTGGGTATTTTAGCTTTAGGAGAAAAAAGCACTGTAGACGGTATAAAAAACATACTACATTTTTTTTTTTTTAAGTAAGCTCTACGCCCAATGTGGAGCTCAAACTCACAACTCTGAGATCAAAAGGTATATGCTCTACTGACTGAGTCAGTAAGGAGCCCCCAAAACTGGGATCCCACAGTTTTAAAACCACGTTTTGGAAGAGAGCATTGTGTCCAAAAAGGCAGTATGAGAGCCTTCGATAATTGATCGATCTGTTGTCATATAAGGCTAGCCTCCTTTTAGGCTTGAGGGTACAAATTAAGACCCATGAAAACCATAATAGTCATCCCATTGACTTATTTCCTTTACTGTGGAATCAATTCCTTAGTTAGAGAAAAA